TACCAATATGAGAAAAAGTAGCACATCCACGTCATTTACATGCCCATGCAAATAGAATATAAGTATCGAAAGAAATTTGTGTATAACGTTTACAAACCCAAAACTATAACAGCAAAAACAAAATAAAGTCAAAGTATGATGTGAGCCAAAGATTAAACTCCATCTCGGAGGCGTGACTCGATTGGGTCTCAAAAAGAATGGCTCCAGAAACTGACTTCAAGGGTGTGCTCCATGCTGCGGATTACATATATGTGCATACATAAGATTAGGTGAGTGAAGCTCAATGAGTAACAATATAGTAAAACAGTGTAAATAGATAGTCATAAGATTCTCACAACACCTAAAATCGTATAAACAAAACGGCCTAAGGCCCAATCATACTTCAAAACGGCCTCGGGCCTAACATATAACAAAACGGCCTCGGGCCCAATCATATATCAAAACGGCCTCGAGCCCAACATATATCAAAACAACCTCGGGCCCAATCATATTTCAAAACGACCTCGGGCTTAACGTATATCAAAACGGCCTCGGCACAACATATAACAAAACGGTCTCGGGCCTAGTCATATTTCAAAACGGCCTTGGGCCCAATGTTGCATATGTCATATAATATTAATGAGGTTTCTCATTTTAAACAAATCACAATGTTAGCACCATTCACTGTTCATGGTTCGAGGTACACAATAACGAACATATAAATATCGTATAATTACTCACATTTGGATCAATTTTGTGGTGTTTCCTCTGGCACACGACCTACACTAAACATGTCGCACACATATTCGATAAATAATTCACTTAAGTTGTACTATTTTCTTTAATTATTCATAACCTTCTTTAATGAGTTTCTATTCATCATTTCACTCCCAAAAGGGGCTAAATAAGGTTGGGAACGCATTCCGAAGGCCAGGGGTAGCCAAATAAAACAACATAATTGTTTTCCCTGTTTGGCCGCACGTGCGGCCGGTCTAGCCGCTCGAGCAGTCTGGCTCAACACATGCTAAAATTACAGCTGCTCGAGCGCACAATGCTGTCCAGTTTTGGTTTAAAGCATGGGCTGCTCATGCGGAGCCCGAGGCCGCACGAGCGATCTGGGCACACCCAGACAGTTCGAAAATGGCCAAAAATGACAAACCTTCCAAACTTATTTCCAAGCCCAAATCAAAGCAAAACTCACTTAAAAACATGATACATAAGCATGATATAAGCGTAATTCTACATTATACTTAACAATCTTGCATCAACATCAACTTCATGGTTTCATCTTTTCACAATTTTATGGTTTTACATGCACAAGTTCAAAATACATATATTCACGAATGATTTTCTCACAAATCTAGTTTTTTTGAACCATCTAGGGTTTGTTTCATGGATTAATCATAAAAACGAACTCAAATCAAACAAAGGTGTAGAGATTAAGGTCCAATTTCCTGCCTTTAGCTCTAGTCACTACATAACTCAAAACCCTAACTCAAAATTCCTAATTTCTTCATGATTTTTTGACAAAGATGAGTTAGAGACAAAGTTTGTAAGTAAATTAATATATCTCAACTCAAATCTATGGTTTGCCCCTTGATACGTGAAACACATAGGCAACCGGACCCAATCTTTCCAAAATTCGAAACGGCCCTATCTACTGAGGTGATAATTTTTCTTTTTTCTTAAATCTTGTGTGCCCTTTCATTGAAGTGACTTTGACAAAAACATGATCCCCAACTTCAAACTCCAAGTCTCTCCTTCTTTGATCCGTATAGATTCTTTGTCGACTTTGAGCAGTTTTCAATCTCTGTTGGATGATTTGAATCTTTTCTGTAGTAACTTGCACAATTTCAGGCACAATCAGCGACCTATCCCCAACCTTGGTTCAACAAATTGGAGTTTGACATTTTCTCTCATACAAAGCTTCATATGGTGTCATTCCAATACTGGAGTGAAAACTGTTTTTATAAGCAAATTCTGCCAAAAGGTAAATGAGTTTCCCAATTTTCACGGAAATCCAAAACACACATTTGGAGTATGTCCTCCAATGTCTGTATAGTTCTTTCAGATTGTCCATTGGTTTGTGGATAAATTGCGGTACTAAACCTCAACTTCATCCGCAGTGGTTTTTGTAAGCTTTGCCAAAACCTTGACACAAACTTAGAATCTCTTTCCGACACAATAAAAATAAGAACACTGTGCAATCGAATAATCTCAACAATGTACACAATAGCAAGTCGATCAGCATTATAAGCAGTCTTCACAAACAAAAAGTGAGCAGATTTAGTCAATCTATCCACAACAACCCATATGGAATCCATACCTCGGGGTGTTCAGGGTAAGCCCACAATAAAATCTATAGTTATATGTTCCCACTTTCATTCCGGAATAGGGAGAGGTTGAAGTAACCCCGCCGATCTTTGGTGCTCTACTTTCACTTGTTGACATTGAAGGCACCTTGAAATGAATTCCACAATTTCTCTCTTCATATTAGGCCACAAAAAGGCTTGCTTGAGATCTTGGTACATTTTGGTATTCCCGGGATGCATAGCAAACCTAGACTTGTGAGCTTCTCCCAAGACTCTTCTTTTAACTTCGGGGACATTTGGAACACACAATCTTCCCTTGAATTTCAACACTTGAGCTTCCAAAGAAAATCTCGGTCTCGATTTTGCTTCCATCTCATCATGTACTTTCTTGAGGAATTCATCCTCCAATTGCCTTTGCTTAATTTCCTCAATAATAGCCGATTGTGCGGTCATTGCAGCCAACATTCCACCTCCATTCTTTTCAAGTCAAATAATAGTTCATTTCGCTCTGTAAGCAAACACGCTAAGTTTTCCATTGACTTTCTACTAAGAGCATCTGCTACCGTGTTGGTTTTACCGGGATGATAATAAATCTGCAAGTCATAATCTTTGATGAGTTCTAACCACCGTGTTTGCCGCATATTAAGCTCCTTTGGAGTAAAGAAATACTTGAGGCTCTTGTGGTCAATGTAGACTTCACATGTTGCTTCATAAAGATAATGCTGCCATATCTTTAATGCAAACACCGCAGCAGCTAATTCCAAATCATGCGTAGGGTAATTCTTTTCAAGTGGCTTCAATTGTGGAGATGAATACGCAATTACCCTTCCATTTTGCATAAGTACACACACCAAACCCTTATAAGCAGCATCACTATAAATAACAAACCCTTCTGTACCTGATGGTAAGGCGAGGACCGGTGCCGTTGTGAGCCTTGCCTTTAATTCTTGGAAAGTGGACTCCCTCTGTTCTGTCCACTCAAATGGAATACCTTTTTAAGTCAATTGGGTAAGCGGCACCGCAATCTTAGAGAAATCTTTAACAAATCTTCAGTAGTAGCCCGCTAAACCCATAAAACTACGTACTTCTGTAACATTGGTAGGAGCAGGCCAATTCACCATAGCTTTTATCTTTTGCAGATCGATAGACAAATCATCCTTGTTAATTACATGCCCCAAAAACACAACTTCATTCAACCGAAATTCACATTTTTTCAATTTAGCATATAACTTCTTGTCCCTAAGTGTTTAAAGAATTAATCTTAAGTGCCTTTCATGTTCCTCCTACTCTTCAAATAAATAAGAATGTCATCAATGAATACCACTACAAACTCATCCAAGTACGGTCTAAAAACCTAATTCATTAAATCCATAAAATTTGTTGGTGCATTCGTAACCCCAAATGGCATAACCAAAAATTCGTAATGGTCGTACCTAGTTCGAAAGGCGGTCTTCTCAACATCCTATGCTTTGACTTTCAACTGATGGTACTTGGATCTTAAGTCAATTTTTGAAAACACTTTTGCCCCTTGTAATTGGTCAAACAAATCATCAATCCGTGGTAAAGGGTATTTATTCTTCACTGTTACCTTATCAAGTTCTCAGTAATCAATACATAATCGAAGGGTCCCATCCTTCTTCTTCACAAACAAAACGGGTGCGCCCCATGGCGATGTACTCGGTTGGATGAACCCTTTGTCAAGCAAATCTTGCAACTGTATTTTTTATTCCTTCATTTCTGTCAGTGACATTTTGTACAGAGCCTTGGAAATAGGTTGAGTACCTGATACAATATCAATGACAAATTCAATCTCACGATCTATCAAGTCCCCTAGCAATTCTTCGGGAAATACATCCAGAAACTCACTAACAATTTGAATATTTTCAACACCCACCTTAGTTGTCTTTGCATACAAAATACTATACAAATAACTCGTACAACCCTTCTGAAATAGTTTACAAGGTTTCACAACCGATATCAAATAGGGCGAAGGGACCGCCCTATGTCTCACATGACCCGGTGGGCTGAAAAACACTTGCTTAGATACACAATCGATGGTTGCATGATACTTAGCTAACCAATCCATTCCCAAAATTATATCAAAGTGTACCATATCAAGAGGCATCAAATTAGCACATAATGGAATATCTCCAAGTAAAAGCTCACATGCAGGATACATAGAAGCACATAACACATAGTCCCCGGATGAGAGGGACACGCACAACACATAATTCAAGGGTTCCATAGATCTATTCAAATTAGGAGCAAATGTTTTCGAAACAAATGAATGGGTGAAACCCAAATCAAGTAGCACATGAGCAGGTTGGCCATTGATGGAAAGCAGACCTGAAACCGCAGCGTCTGAATTTTGGTCATCGCCAGGAACAAGCCCAAAGACTCTCCCTTGCCTAACATTGTCTTTAGAAGTAGTAGGCCTTGTCGGGGTGTTTGTTGCAAGAGTGGAACCGGCTGAACTAGTAGTTGGCCTATTCCCTTTTTGTTGCCCAAACATAGGACAATCTCTCACCATATGCCCGGCTTTCCACAATTAAAGCAAGCTCCTGATGCTCGATAACAACCTCTCCGGTACTTCTTTCCACACTCCGGGCAAGTTGGTGCCGAATCACGGATAGAACCTGAAGTGTTGGAAGTTCCCAAATTTTGTTTCTTACTTTGTAAGGATGTCGACCCTTTGTGCACATTGGAGCCTTACCTTTTGACCTTCCAATCCGAGTACCGATTGCGGTTGACTTGGTTACCTTCTACTATGATGGTCTGATCTAATACATTCACATATTTTTGTAACTGTAATACATTAATATTACATTAATATTCTCAAGAATGGAGTCTCAGATACCTCCCTCAAATAACCTCACCTTCTTGTAGTCCATATCGGCTATGTACGATGCGAAACAGGCTAATTCGGTGAATTGCGCTTCATACTCTGCTACGGTCTTGTTCCCTTGCTTCAACTTTTCAAACTCTCTTACCTTCTTGTCTCGAATACTCTGTGGGAAGTACTTCTCATAGAAGATCTTCAAAAATTGAGCCCAATTCATCTCTTGATGCTCTCCTTGAATAAGCATCCACCAACGGTACACCCCATCTTCTAGTGTAAAAGCAGCTAGCAAGACTTTTTGTACCTCCGTGCATGGAAAGACTTCAAACAATTTCTCGATACCAAGTACCCAAGCCTCCACCTTTAATAAATCAATTCCTCCTCTGAACAAGGGTGGTTTCATCTTCTTAAATTCTTTTGTAAGAGCAATAGTTCGGTCGTTGGCGTAGTGGTCTTGCACTATAGGTGGTGGCACAGGCATTGGTAGCGGTGGTTATTGTTGCTGTTGTTGTCTAAAGGCCTCCACCATATCCATGACCATTGCCTCCATTCTATCAAGTTGTGCGAAGGTTGAATCCTCCCCATCCTCTGCCTTTGTTCTCACCATGATCTAGAGGAACAAACATTATAACTTTCCCAAATAATAAATACATAAGACACATTTACAAATGCACATTTTCATGTCATACTTGATTATGGATGTATTACGGATGCAAATTAATCCCTTTCTAGACTTCTTATTGCTCGCATGGACTCATGTGTGAGATGTTAACTCGTGCTCTGAAACCACTCTGTCATGACCTGAACCCGCCCTTAAAAGTTTTGGTCATAATCAACCAGTAATGACTTGATTACCTTCGGCCTCAAACAAACATACAGAGTAATTATAGTAATGGGGCCAAAAGCAGAAGTATACAACAAAAGAATGAGTCCATTGGGCTATATCAATATGAGCAAAAGTAACACATCCACGTCATTTACATGTCCATGCAAAAAGAATATAAATATCGATAGAAATTTGTGCATAACGTTTACAAACCCAAGACCAGAACAGCAAAAACAAAATAAAGTCAAAGTATGATGTGAGTCAAAGATGAAACTCCATCTTGGAGGTGTAACTCGATTGGGTCTCAAAAAGAATGGCTCCTGAAGCTGACTTTAGGGGTGTGCTCCATGTTGTGGATTACCTACATATGCATACATAGGATTGGGTGAGCGAAGCTCAATGAGTAACAATATCGTAAAACAGTGTAAATAGATAGTCATAAGATTCTCACAATACCCAAAATTATATAAACAAAACGGCCTTAGGCCCAATCATACTTCAAAACGGCCTTAGGCCCAACATATAACAAAACGGCCTTGGGCCCAACATATACCAAAACGGCCTTGGGCCTAATCATATTTCAAAACGGCCTCGGGCCCAACGTATATCAAAACGGCCTTAGGCCCAATCATATTTCAAAATGGCCTCAAGCCCAACGTATATCAAAATGGCCTCAGGCCTAATCATATTTAAAACGGCCTAGGCCCAACATATAACAAAACGGCCTCGGGCCCAACATATAACAAAATAGCCTCGGGCCTAACATATAACAAAACAGCCTCGGGCGCAATCATATTTCAAAACAGCCTTGGGCCCAATGTTGCACACGTCATATAATATTAATGGGGTTTCTCATTTGAAATAAATCACAATGTCGACACCATTCACCGTTCATGGTTTGAGGTACACAATAACGAACATATAAATATGGTATTATTACTCACAGTGGGATCGATCTTGTGGTGTTTCCTCTGGCACACGACCTATACCAAACATGTCATACACATATTCGATACGCAATTCACTTCAATTGAACTCTTTTCTTTCATTATTCACAACCTTCTTTAATGAGTTTCTATTAATCATTTCACTCCCAAAGGGGGTTAAATAAGGTTGGGAATGCATTCCGGAGGCCGGGGGTAGCCAGACAAAACAACACAATTTGTTTCCCTATTTGGCCACACGTGCGGCCGGTCCAACCGCTCGAGCGGTCTGGCTCCGCACATGCGGAAATTACAGCCACTCGAGCGCACAATGATATCCAGTTTTGGTTCAAAGCATGGCCACTCCGTGGCCGCACGAGCGGTCTGGGCACACCCAGACAATCCGAAAAATGGCCAAAAATGACAAACCTTCCAAACTTATTTCCAAGCCCAAATCAAAGTAAAACTCACTTAAAAACATGATACATAAGCATGACACAAGTGTAATTCCACATTAAACTTATCAATCTTGCATCAACATCAACTTCATGGTCTCATTTTTTCACAATTTCATGGTTTTACATGCACAAGTTCAAGATACATATATTCATGAATGATTTTCTCAGAAATCTTGTTTTTATGAACCATCTAGGGTTTGTTTCATGAATCAATCAGAAAAATTAACTCAAATCAAACAAAGGTGTAGAGATTAAGGTCCAATTTCATGTCTTTAGCTCTAGTTACTACACAACTCAAAACCCTAACTCAAAATTCCTAATTTCTTCATGATTTCTTGACAAAGATGAGTTAGAGACAAAGTTTGTAAGTAAATTAACATACCTCAACTCAAATCTATGGTTTGCCCCTTGATTCCCTTCAAATCCCTAGCTTTCTCTAGCTTTCTCCCTCTCTCAAACTCATACTTTGGAGCCCTCTTCCAACAAATAAAGAACAAAAGAGGCTAACATACAACTCAACTCAAAAATCTTAATTTATTCATTACGAATCATATTTTTTCAAAATCTCACCAAAGGCTCTAAAAATCATGCTAATCATAACTATGAAGTCAGCTTTTGTTTATCGCGCCTCTATGGCCTTCAATTTTAGTTCAAAGTTTCAGTTACAACAGATATTCCTACTCTCAACAGATATTTTTCCAAATTCATTTATTTTCTATACTCAAACTTGCAAATTCATATCAAACACATAATCAAATACATAATTAAGCATAGTACGGGTTGGGTTATCACAACGCGTCTGCTCACCTACATACATAATATAAATAGTGAGCGAAAGCCCAGTGAATAATAACATAATAAACGGTTAAATAAATGATGTCCTAATAGATTCAAAAAATAGAAACAGATTCATATTAATAACCATGCTTAAATCATATCCATGTTAATAATCATGCTTGAATCATATCCAAAAATCAGAATTCATACTTGTTCATATGTGGTACATCCATTAGCACTAACATATCAAGTACAGAGCATTAAGGGTTATACTTGTCAGTTCGATAAAGGAACCTCCGGTACCGGGAACAAATAACATGCTTACTAGTTCCACAAAGGAACCTCTAATACTGGGAACAAATAACATGCTTGCTAGTTCCACATAGGAACCTCCAGTACCGGGAACAGATCATGTACTTGACCCATGGAATTATTACCACGAGTGCTTGTCAGAAACTGGACAATCATTCATTGTACAAAGCATAACATTGCATAAAACAGATCTTATTCCACATACAAAAAATAATAAAGTTGAACATAGCTTTACTAAATTATTGCTCACAGATGGCTCTAAAGCAAACAACAGAGCAGACGAATCAGATAACTTGCGGCGCGTGACCTACACAGATACAGAATGAATACGCACTGAATTACACACCCGAAATTATTAACTTAGTTTTTTCTTCTTTTGGTGTGTTTCTACTTCTTTGTCTTCATTCTTATATCTTAATCTTGGCCTAGAAATGCCTAAGATGCAATGAAGATGCTGAAATGCACTTGAAAACACTTAGGCAAATATGCTGAAAATAGGGGCCTCACTCAAGCAAAGATTCCAGAGTGGTCAGCCTAACATCGATCGTTTAAGCGGTCTGCAAACTTCTGCAAAAGTACTGGTAGCATGAATTCTACGCTCGACAGTCGCTCGAGTGTATGACTGAGATCTTTGATTGAGTGCAACTCTTGTCGCTCAAGCGATCTGCAAAATATGTGAACTTCTGGGAGCATACATTTTACACTCGAGCCAACTTTTGGTCGCTCGAGCGGAAGTGCAAAAGCAAAAGTCGTCGCTCGAGCTGATGGACATAATCTGGAATTTCCAGATTGCTCTTCCAAGCTTCAAACTTAAATTCTACACACCAAAACTCATCATTTTGGGCCAAAAACTTAAGAAAACATGTGTGAACTGGAAAAACATTGGGAATTCAAAATCATTTAGCAAAATCAAGGCCCAGAAGCTTGCTAATTGTGCAAAATCAAACCCAATTCTTTGAAAACATAACATGCATGTTTTATCTCGACTTCAAAGCCTCAAAAACATGACCAATTGTATGGAATGGTAGTAAACAAGATGAATTCTCAAAATAGGAGTAAGATGGAAACATGTATGAGAGAATTCCTTGAAATCAACTTAAATTATGCTCAAATGGGCATGCATGCATGATATGACCTTCCTACCAACTCACTAGCTCAATTATTGACTAATTCAACTTAATTCTCTTGAATTCTCTACATGAACTAACTCAATTACACAACTAAGAGTTTAATTACTCACCTTAGATACTTAATTATATTCTAGAGGTTCAATTTCTTGAGTCCCCAAGCCCAAATCTACAATTCTTTACAAAACCTTCACCATCTCTCGAGCTCAAACTCTCTCTAAGCTTTTCTCTCTCTCTCTCCCTCTCTCTCTCTCTCTCTCTCCCCCTCACATTTTTGCTTCCAAAGAAATGAAATGAGAATGTAAAACTCTATACTAGAGCCCACTTATGCCTTCTATAGGCCCAATTAAAAAACTTAATTAAACTTGGCTTAAACTAAGCAAATGGGTATTATTTATTCTAATTAATTCACTCGAATTCGAATTTTAATTAAACCTATCATAAAATTATAAAAATTCCAAATAACACATATATCAAGTCAATTTTATGTTCAGATGCCGACAAGGCTCTCAATTCACAGAACAAAGCAAAAATACAAACAGATATTTCTACGATAGGCAAATAAAAACACAAATATTACAACACACATGCAATTAATTCAAAATTTCGTCTTGATTACTTATTAGATATGGTTAATCATGATTCATCAGCTAATCATAGGTCAGGGTTATTACTAGTTTAGTGTAAAAAGCCCCCTCAAATTCTTAAAGATTTTTGCTAAATCTTATAAATAAGTCGGATTTGGGTGTGTTTGTAGAGAGCAGGGAGAGAAAAGATGAGTATAAAGAGAGACAGAGTAGTGTAAAGGTGTATCCAACACGTTTTTGGCATTAGTTTTGAGGAAAAAAACAAAAAATTCAAGACAAACACGCCGAAATCTGCACGAGCGTTTTGAATTCCGCATGAGCAGAATTCCAATCCGTACGAGCGGATTCTAATGCCCCCACAGGCAATTTGCTCTAGAGAAAACCCAAAATTTTCACAGAAAATCTGCTTGAGCGGAACCCAAATCTACACAAGTGGTTTTGTCCAAACATTTTCAAAAGACATTTGTGTGATTCTGCTTGAGCGGTTGCCAAATCCGCATGAGTGGTTTTGCCTAGAAAACCCATAATTTGATTTCGCATCGTAAAATAGGTTCCAATGCCCAAAACTCAAAAAATTTAACTTGAAAATGTTAAGGGGGATTTAGTAAGAGCATAAAAGAATTATCAATGACCCAATACGATAAACAAACACCAAAAGTAAAGCACACTATCAAACTACACAATACTAGTCAAGTCCAACAACCAAGACAAGACATCACATTGTGTGACCTTTGACTATGTCATAAGGTGAGGGTTGATGTTTTGCTACTTTAGTATGCTACATGCAGTCATGTATGATTCGGCCTTACGAGACATTACTGAGAAAGCGATCAATCCTAAACTAAATAATATGAGGGTGAATGGAAAATCATCTAGTATTATACCTCTGTTGTTTATTCACTATCGCCAACTCACATTGCTTTGTATAAGAGACGGATTGAGTGTGAATATATTGCAAGATTTGAGAGGGTCAAACATGCCATTTTCTGAGGGATTAGAAATGGTTTTGGATTGGTGTAATTAGATGGTTCTGGGATACATGAGACATTATTTTTATCTTCGCGTTGATATCTTTGTAACAATCTGTTTTGGGTGACCACTGGAGTGGTAAATCGATCACTCGAGTGGTAATGCAAATCTCTTAGTAACTTACCCGTTTGCAGGCGAGACCGCTTGAGCGGTAAATTGGTCACTCGAGCATAGAATTGAGGCTTCTAGTATTTTCATTGTAACTCTGTAAAACTTCTGAGACAATATGTTTATCACTCGAGTGGTGAAAAGTTCGCTTAAGCGGTTTGTTCAAGACAACACATTTAAAAGTCAATCTAAACGCATTTCTCTCTCACTTTTTCACATCCTTTCACTTTCTAACACCGTTTTTCGAAACCCTAACCCTAAGGCACTTTATTTCCATTAGTTTTTCCGAAGATTCACCTTAGACCTTCCAAGGGGGTTGAAAAACAAGCTTGATTTTAAAGTTCTACCGATTATTTCTCGTTTTCTTGAAGTTTAAAGTTGGTTTTTCATCACTTGTCTTCAATCTTGAGATAAAGGTACTTGTAACTCGTTATATCTTTGATTTGATACATCTATGTGTTATTTTCATTAGTTGTCAAGATTTATGAAATAAATTTATGTTAGAAAATGAGTTTGATGAAAAATGGGCTATACCTCATGATTTTGGGAAGAGTTTATGTACATTGTTGATGATTATTGTTGTAGATGATGAAGATTGGCCTATAAATGATGTAAGGGGGAAAAGCCCTAATTTTTCTAAAAACCCTATTTTTCAAATTGGTTCAATAAAGTGGATTTTGTTCTATTGACTCTTGAATTTTGAAATTGGGTGTAGTGGCTTGACTTTGATATTGGAATATGAGATTTTGGAACTTCTTAAGAAATAACCATTTGATTGGTGATGATTGCGAGTTGGAGAAATCTTTCAATTGTGAATGTTTATATTATTGGATTGTTGTGAATTGAAAACCACCTTAGGAAAATTAAGATTTGGAAACTCATACATCATATGCCTTTACAAATATACTTTGTAACTTTAAATGTTAATGTTTGGGAAGTGTTGGAAGGAAGTAAATAGCTCATGAGTCCGGGTTGTGAGTCGGATTTTGATTTAACTAGTGTATTGTACATTGGTACTCATGTAGGGAGTCAAGGTGCCTAATTGCCCTGTCTTGTGCATATTGCCAGATGAATGTGAGAAAAGTTTTAGGGTGTTCACGAGCCTGCCACTAATAGAGTTGACAAATATAAAAGACTTGATTTTGAGCTCGCCATTCCAGGAGTCAACAAATGTGGAAAGGTAAGGGTCTTGGGTACCCATCGTCCCATCGTTTTGAGAGTCAGCAAATGTTGAAACTATTTTTAGTATGTAAATCTATATTTATATGTATGTATGGTGCGCAGCTCTTGTATCGGGATGTCATAGCGTATTTACACCCCATGTTTTGGTTATGATATTGTTGGCATCGAGCATTTCGCATCATGGTTTTATAAAGAAAGAAAGGTTTTGGTTTTCTCATCTCTCGCATGGCATGATCATATGTATTTTGATTAATTATATAATTTGTTAATGGTACTTCCTACTAGGTGATTGCTCACTCTAAAACTTACAACCTTTCAGGAGATGATGCGATTGTACTACCAAAATGAGTTGGTTAAAGATAGATTTTTGGATGAGAGCATGGAGGCTCTATGAATGTTAACTGTTGAAACTTTTGGGTTATTTTTGTGCTGGAGATATAACTCTCTCTTTTGTGTTTTAAAGAAAAATCTTTGAAACGATGTAAGCCGTTAGGATATTATGTTTTGTATTATTTCTTGGGTTCGGAATTATTTATTCTATTGATGAATGTACTTGACAACGATGTAAATCACTCGAATAGTTCAATAGGAAAAGATAACTTTTGAAATCATGAAATGGATTTATTTAATGGCCTAACTTGTTTTTATAAATCAACTTATTTGTGAACTAATTAATGTTGTGAAAAGATGATAATTTTCAACGCATTATAGTCTTTGTGCTGGCTCTTATGAGGGTGAATAACCCACAATCCTTTCTTTTAGGGAGATAGAGTTGCAGGTAGTTACGTCTCTCTCTTTATAATCACCATGAATATATATTATGTATTGGATTTTGGGTTTTAATCGAATAATTTTCTGCCAAAAAAAAAAACAATTTTCTCTCTCTAGCTCTCTACCATGGGAGAACAACAATGTATTTCTACTATAAATAGTGTGAGTAGTTCTCTAGTAGTTTTACTCCACTGTTGGGAATTGTTCGAGTTCATCCATGGAAGCACGTAATTCACCCACCCACATATTCATTAGATTCGGTTTGATTGTAAAAGATATTTCTGATTCTGTTTATTTATTTCCACTGTGTATTTCTTATTTTTTTTTCTAATGCTACTTGACCCACATTCAAGCACGTTGCCATTCGCCCATTGGTTACACAGCTAATGGAAGAAAAAATAAAGGAACAAAACAAACTGAGAAGCATTGATTTTGATTACTCCTTCCGTTTCAAAATATTAGTCTCTTATTATATTTTTCATTGTTCCAAAATATTAGTCTATTTTTAAAATTCAAGTACTAAAACAACATGAATTTCCTATTTTGCGCTTCTTTTAAATTCATTAATATTAATATACACAAATGTATCTTGATAATTGATATTCTCAAAAAAATATTGTATTATTTTAATTTTAAATCAAAGGGTAAATTTGAAAATTTAATATTTTTGAAATGTAATAATTATACAATTAAAAAAAATTAAATTTCTCAAAAACAATTAATATTTTAAGACGACAGGAGTATCAATGCTAGGGCTTCATTCACCACAAGATGGCTTATGAAATTAATGGAAAATTAATAGACCAACTATTTTGGTTACTTGTACTCAACATATAGGTGAGCTAATCATTAGATAGATGATGTCATTGACGGAAGGAAGTCAGGTGAGCTCCAACGTGTTGCAGAGCCTTCGGCTGTGAGAGGGTCTTTGGCTTCCTCAGGGCCGTGTGAGGCATGCGTCTGAGTTCCTACCTTGAATGATAAGAATGACTGTCCTCAGCTCGACTTTAATTTAATTTTTTCATAGCTTTCATACTTTATTCAGTTGGGTTACTACACCTATTTTTGTTGCTATATATGTAGTTTAGTCAACTATAATTATACTAGTATTTTGCTTGAGTGAGTAGCATTAATGAGATTATATATATTTATATGCTTAAAATACACATTTTTGTAGTACTGATTATCACAAATATCATAATAAAATTCATTTCTGTCATAATTAAAAAAGATTGAATTCTCTCAATTTGACCTATATTTTAAAGTCGACATTGATAATCCGAATCATTCACTTTTTATAACTGGTTGAGTAGAATATTCATATAAAAAATTAAAATAATCAATCTGTGATAATTATATATTTAAATCACGTTATTTTGTAATAATAGATAACAATTATAATTTTAAGAGTAAAATCACTGAATTTAAGCTTTTCAAATACCTTAGTACTTGAGTGTATAGGTTCCCCATGTCTTTAAAAAAAAGTCTAACGAAGAGCAAGTTTATTTGGATGAAAAGGTGAAAATTTTTTTCTGGACTAATATCTTGTTAATGTCACTATACTATCATCGTTGCCATCACCCCCATCACTCCACAACCATCTCCATTTCAAGGTTGATTTCAAAATAGACCTACCAAGTCCAAGTATTATCTCAAATTGAAATAGACAACTTTGAAAGAATCCAAATCCTAACTAAAAAATTCATAATGAACCATAACTAAATATCATATAATATATAACCAAAGACTTTTTTAATCATAATCAAAATAATAATCATAACAAATCAAAACCAACATCACAATAATTTATAACCAATAATACAATAAATTATAATTAAAAATTATAAATATCATAATTGGGGCATGTAGTAAACCCCAAAATAGGGTGTGATTATAGAATTTCCTGATCTATGACGGTGTTTGGGAAGAGTTTTCTTTTTCTTTTTTCTTTTTTTTTTTTGTTAATTTTTTGCTAAAAGACAAAATAGGTTAAAAAACTAAAAAAAAAAAAACAAATCCAGACAAAATATCACATTCAATCCATAATCATTTCATTTTTTCTCTCACAAACATCACATCCAACTACCAAAAAAATACAACTATCTTCCCAAACACAATAGATTTTTCCTCCAAAAATAATCAAAAACTAAAAAAACGTACTAAAATAATAACTTACCAAACACCCACTATATATATTGCCAAACACGCACACTTATATATAGAGATAAAGGTATGAGGAGGAGAGGAAGAGTAAAATCGAGAAGTCGAAAGAGAAATGGAGTGTGAGCGTGAAGTATCGGAAGTATCAGTGCCAGTGAGTCCTAGTGGACAATACCTCAACAGCTCTGTGCTATCGCTTTCTATTCTTGCAGTTTTAGAATCAGAAATTCCCATTGATGACTCCCAAACTATGTCACTCCTTAAGAATGTGTTCCTACCCATTAATCCACGCTTTTCCTCCATCATGGTATGTATTCTCTCTCTCTCTCTCTCTCTCTCTCTCTCTCTCTATATATATATATATATACATATATATATATATATATGTATGTGTATGTTTATATACCTCTCTCTCTCTCTATACCATCATTCTTAGGTTCATCATGCAGCATGCATAAATTCTTAGGTAGTTGTATGTCTTCTCTCCCGTCAAAGAGAACTATTAGCATGCATAAAGTTTTGTTCAAATATAAATAATCGAACGTTGTATAACGTTCAACTCTGATTATACAAATGAGATAAACAACTAATCAAAAAGACATTCTAAAAAATTGACATTTTCATTGTGTATTGTTACAGACCAACAATCTAACTGTCATCCACGTTATGCAAATCTTCAAAACTAATTGATTTCTATATTCTTGAACTTTAAATCTTCAAAGGCAATAATGTTTTGAATTTGGGAAATAAATATAATGGAGAAAAGAATGAGGTAAGCTAATTGATAATGAATGATATCATAAATGCAATGTGTTAGATTATAATAGTGAAGATAATGAGTGTTGGAAGATGATAAAGAAAATACAGCGTTTATATGTCTATAGAGAATGGTGTGTAAAGAGTGTTTTGTGTTTTCATATATCAATTCTCTGAATTGGTAGAATACGGACTCATGTGTCCATAATAGTATTTTTATTTGAGAATATTATTGTAATATAAATTTAATCTGTTAATAGTGTGTACTGAGTGAATTAGTGATGTGTAAATAGAATTTTTCATATTTTAAAAAGTCAATTATAAATTCTCTCAGACATGTTTGATTAGTAGAATTGTAGCATAAGATTGATGTTTGATTATAAATTGTATTAATTGGATTACATGACATTCAATCTGACAAAAAAACAGGTGGAAGGCAAAAAAGGAGTCAAAAAATGGAAAAGGGTTGAAGTGAAGCTTGAAGATCACATTAATGTGCCTAGGTTCGCAGAAGGAATGTCTCTGGAGTTTTACGACAAAAATTTCAACGACTACTTGTCAAAAATTTCCTTGGATCAATTTCCACACAACCAACCATTATGGGAAATTCACATAATTAAGTACCCTACAAGTAACGCGGCTGGAAATGTAATTTTTAAGCTTCACCACGCGCTCGGAGATGGATTTTCTCTAATGGGAGCTCTACTTTCGTGCCTACAAAGAGCTGACAATCCTGCTATTCCATTGACATTCCCTTCGCGCCAATCAAACTCGAAAAAAGAATGCAAAACTACTAGCATTTTCAAGTGTGTGCCTAAAATTTTCACTAGGGTTATTAATACTGTGCAGGATTTTGGGTGGAGCTACATGAAGAGTAGGTTTGTCGAAGATGACCGATCACCAATCCGATCCGGTGAAGGTGGATTTCGGGCTACCACAATAACCACATTAACATTTTCTCTTGATTGCGTCAAACAAATCAAAGCCAAGCTTAAAGTGGTAATTATAGATTATTTTCAGTTAAATAGTTGCGTGTTTTTTTTTTTTTTTTTTTTTTTTTTTAGGGTACATATATGCTCTGTTTTTCTTTTATTTGTTTATTTTTTTCCTACAGTTTATTTTGAGTTACCCGGATAACGAGATCAATAATTAAAAATACTATAATGACATTTTTTTTACCTAACAATCGAGACCAACTGATCGTAACTGAGCCTCACACAGGTTTATTGGTGACAATTTTTTTGCGATGGGCAACAACTCTGTTTTTCTTTTATTTGTTTATTTTTTTCCTACAGTTTATTTTGAGTTACCCGGATAACGAGATCAATAATTAAAAATACAATAATAACATTTTTTTTACCTAACAATCGAGACCAACTGATCGTAATTGAGCCTCACACAGGTTTATTTGGTGACAATTTTTTTGCGATGGGCAACAAAATTCATCACCAAAAGTGAGTTTTCTTCGAATGTGATTAGTTTTTCTCCATTTCATTTTTTGAATTAGAGGGTCCAATTTAGATAGTTGTGGCACTAAAACAAATAAGGATTTTACAGATATATTTATTAGTGACATTTTTAAAATTTTGTATTTAAAAATTATTTTTTGACTTTTTGGGACAATTTTTTAATGATGACCCTCGTGACAATAGAAAATTAGTTCTCAATTTTTTTTAACAAATTTTTTATTTTAGGGATAAAAAAGTGTGTTCCTAAAATTGTTATATTGTAGTGTGGGCACACTCTCAGACAGTTTTGATAATTCAAAATATTTAAATTTTAAGATTCGTAAAGCAGATCATTCATGTGAAAGATTAAGTTGATCGGATATCAACAATTATCTGATTAAGCCACATTTCTTTTAATAAAATAGAAAATAAGTATGATTTCAAAAATTGATTTTTTTTTTAACATAAATATAAAAAAGAATCATGTGATTGCTGACATCAAATTAACTTGAAATTTTCATTGAAGTCAAATTAAATTAATTTTTTTTCCTGAATGGTTTGATCCAGAAAACTGACAATTTAAACTATTTAAATCGCCCAAGGTCAGCCCACTTCTATCTAAAATGGACCATCTAGTCTAAAACGTAGAGTGGAGGCAAGTTTGATCTTTTCCAAAACGGGAGCTTCTATTTACCCACACCAAACCTACTCTATACACACACTTAATGAAGAGGATGTGCAAAAAATGTAGTGAGGAGGATGTGTAAAAAGTATATATTATGAGTGCAAATAGAAGCTCTCTTCCAAAACCCATGAAAAGGAAATAATTGAGGATGAAATTACCAATTTGCCACAGAATGTCATCGACAAATGTTTGGCATCCATTTTTGGTATACAGAATAACTGATTCAGCTTAAGAGAAAACCAAGTGCACAGAAATGGTTGTTTGGTTTTTGAGTTGGGTTAAAAAATTATAAAAGGATAAAAAAAAGTTAAAAAATTACAAAAAGACAAAAAAAAATCTACCATTCCAAAGTTAAAAGGTCAAAAAAGTTAATCAAGAGTACCAAACGAACAAAAAAGTCTTTGGCTAAAAAAGTCAAAAAAATCAAAAAATCAACAGAAAAAAAGTCATTACAAAATGGAAGCTCACTCTTATGCTTTTTTATGATTGATTTTGTGAATCAATTTTGTCTTTATGGCATAGCTCTAAAGAGTAATGGTATACAAATAAATTTTCTTATTTATTATTTTTTTGATTATAGAAGATGTGACTTTTTGTAATCCTTTCATTCCTAATAAAAAAAAAAATACCCATCATTATTCTCATAATTTTGAAAATCTCTTGACACATTATTTTGAATTTATTTTCTGTATGAACTTCAGTTTCATTTGTTAAAGCGTATAATTGTAAGAAAGCATATCATTAGGATGTGCTTAGTGATTTAATTTCCAAGAGACAATAAATGACAAGTGATCCAACAATTAAATTTGTAACAGACGATAAATGATGTGATTACGGGAATAATATTTTTGGGAACACGGCTATACATGGAAGAGACAAGCCATGAGTCAGGCAAAGCGAGTTCTACGGCACTAGTATTGTTCAACACTCGAGCCATTGGTGGATACAAGTCGATTAGTGAGATGGTGAAGCCTAATGCTGAGATGCCATGGGGGAACCGTTTCACATTCTTACAAGTCCCTATACCAAAGTTAGCTAATGCTGGTGATGCTGCTGATGAGTCTTCTTCAAACCCACTCCGCTTTGTCATGAAAGCACATCACTTGATCAAGAGGAAAAGAAACTCTGCTGCTGTTTATCTCATTGGAACCATGTTAGACACACTTCGAAAACTTAGAGGCCCCGAGGTATGTGCCTGCTTGCATCGTGTTGTTGGGTTTCTCATTTATTCTTTTTGAAATAGATGGACTTACTTGTTTCGATTATCTGAATCATTCATTTTATAATAATTTTTTTTTTTTTTAAAGTTGATTTGATAATCGTAACATGTTTAATTTATCGTATTTGTCTCTTAACAATTGGACGGCAAATATATTTTTTAAAATAGACTATTCATTTCTTTTTTATGACAAATGTCATAAATAGAATTAGTTACGATTATTATATTAACCTAATTTTTTTTTGTATGAGTAATATATAAATTGAGTCCTTGATGAACCACAAGAGCCCAAATAAAATTTCCTAGTAGAAGGCACGCCCTTTCGGAAAAGTATACAACAAAATTTACAGTAACAATGTTTGGTAGTTCAAAATTTTTTGGCTCAAATGGCTCAAATCACTCAAAACGACGTCGTTTTAACAGATTTTGAGTGTAAAACGACGTCTTTTTGACAGATTTAAGCCATTTGAGTCACAAAATTTTAAGTTACCAAACATTTTCTAATTTACAATTTGGAAAACAGTTGTATGCTATTTGTGCTTTTTTGGGATGAAGTGCAGTCCGATCTCGTGTGGCTCAATATTGGTTCCACCAGTTGATCTAATCATTCATCTTTTAAGATTTTGTGCGCAGATTATTTATAATAAAAGAAGTGATTTAATAACTATAAGTATATGTATTTATAAAAATAAATAATGAGTATAATTTTAAAATTAAACTGTTTATTTTTTATGATAAATATGATCAAATATTTGGGCTACGATAATTGGGTAAATCTGTTTTCTTCATAGATTATCTATTTTACAAGATGAATGGTTGAAAATAAATAAATAAATAAAGGGTAAATTATAAATACGACCTCCGGAGTTTGCTTAAAATATGAATTATCTCTTGTGATTTGAAAAATTACAAATATCTCCCTGCCATAATTTTTTACTTAACAGAATTAATTGAAAATGTGAAATTTCTAACTTTTCACTTATATAATAATAAATTATCTAAATTATTAATTGAAATAAAATTTTAATATGATTAAAAACTGTTAATTAACTTGATTATTTGTTAATAAAATGACCTATTTATTATGAAATTAGAAATCATAGAGAACATAATATAATTTTTAGAACCACATAAAATAATTTATAATTTAAGTAAATCTTGGAGAATATGTTTATAATTTACCCATAAATAAATAAACGACATAAATCATTAAAATGAGAGGCATATTAGATTTTGAGTAATGCTAAAGATTCATACATTTATATCCATAAATTGATCCATAGTGATGTGACATGGGAATTAGGCCTATTATTGTTAAGTGTGTAACAAATAAAAAGTTAACATATATCATGTCACATCATTATGGATAAAATTATGAATACTTTTTAAGAGTTTCAAAAAAACTTCCTTAGAGCTTTATTGATGTAATATTTTTAAATGTTTATCAATAAAATTTTCTTTTTTGAAAAAAAAAAAAAAAATGCACATTACTATTCTAGTCTAAAAATTAGACTTATTTTTTAGAAAAATGCTTGAAATACCTAATTTATCATTCTTAAAAATCATCTCTAATTATGTGTTTGACAAGTATGAAATTTTGATTGGTCAAACATTTCATCATGTGAGATTTAATCTTAATGACACATTATTAGGGGTGATAAATTAGAAAAATGCAACCATTGTTATACTTTTAAAATATAATGTGATAATCAATTATGATATCTAAACTAATTCTCTATTTCATATATTCTTTAACCATTAACTAATTAAATTATTTATATATCATTATGTATAAAAAGTGAATCTTAAAAATACACTTGTATATTACTTTTCTTTTAAATATGAGCGATAAGAAAGATCCTAAGAATTGACCATGGGTCAAATGTGGGCTCAAATAGTGCTTTCATCACTGCACCAATGGCCCATTGCTCATACGTAAACAATAGCGGACACGGGGCAAATGGAGTCACCATTTCAAATTTCACAAAACAACAATGATAGGTATCATAAAAAAATTTTCATGAAAATAATCATGAAGTTTTGTAATCCTTGCATTACACTTATAATAAAGCACTACACACTAATCAAGATAATCGAAGGATCATAAATTTTTCATAATCATTTTCATGACAAAATTTTCATGATCTCTAACCTTGATTAATTTTGTGAAATTTTAAGTATTTACATGGAAAATTAGCATTTTAGTCCCTTTAAAATTATATAATTTTACTCCCAACTTTACAAAAACCTCATGGTTTATGCAATTTTAAATATTTATAATAATAATAACAAAAAAAAAAAAAAAAAAAGCATCTAGACCGCAAAAAATCTATAAATTTTCCTTCAACCCCTCAAAATTCTAATAATTTTACCTTCGTCCCACATTTCCATAATTTATGAGTCCATCAAAAGTTGGTTTAAAACTTATAACTCAATTTAAGAATGAGTTTGGTGTTGCAGGCAACTGCTCGGTATCTCCATAGTACGCTAAAGAATTCAAGCCTGGGAATATCAAATTTGATTGGGCCAGTGGAGCCAATGACTTTGGCTAATTATCCGGTTAGAGGATTATACTTTACAGTGAATGGCGGTCCTGAGGTATATTGTACGATTATGATTGTCGAGTACAAATCATTTGTCCCGCTTTTTGTTCCATCTTTATTATATTTGTTACATATTTACATGCCATCAAGATCAATATTTACATGCCATCAAGATCAATGGTTAGAAGGGTACGTACGAAGCAGAGAGTGGGACAAATGATCTTATAGCATGATTATCTTCTACGGACTCAAAATATCTATGTTTAATTGTTCATAACTGCTCTTACTAGACCAAATCTTGTTTATGGGTATTGCAATGCAGGATCTGTCCATAACAGTGGTGAGTTATGTAGAAAAGCTTAGAGTTGCAGTCAGGATGGACAAAAGCTTCATTGATCCACAGAAATTCAACTCATGCATAGAGAAGGCTTTTGACATGATTTTCAGAGCAGCTGTAGAGTCTACCTCACCAGCAATTTCAAGCACCAAAGTTTCCAATAAGAACAAAAAGGAAATTAAAAGCTCATAATAGTTCTGTCTTCTTCTTTACACTTCTTTCATGAGCACAATAGTTAAATATTACTTTAAACTGTATTATGATCTCATAAATTATGTTTTCTTTCCTACAGTCTTGTTTTCCTTTAGCTAATAGGGAGATTAACTTTGTCGCCCAAGGCTCATTATAAAAAATTTCAAAAAATTATTATTGTCGTAGGTTATTTTGATATTTAACTTGAGATCTCAAATAATTAAAAGGAAAATGTTACAGATCTCAAATTTTTTACCAAATAAATGACTAAATATCTTACATGGTGTGAATCCCATACTTTTGTAGACCTCACACCCATGTGCGACATTTGGTCATTAATTTGGTAGAAAATTTGAATTGCGTTTAGTAGAGTTTTAGAATTATGATTTGAAAATAGAGTTGTATTTTGAGTTTGTGAGTTTTAGAATTATGATTTGAGTGTGAAAATTTATTTGGTTATGAATTTTGAAAATAATTTTGAATTGAGTTTGAATTGAGTGATGTAACATATGATAGAGGTGTTTGTTTGGACTTTGTTGATTCAACTTATAGCTTCTCACAACTTATTTTAACTCAAAAAAGTTAATTCAGAGAAACTGGTCATCCCTTACTTCTGATTATCAGCTTCTGCTATGGACATGTTAGTTCATGATTATACTCTTAGAGTTTAAAAATAAATAAATAAATAGAAAAAGACCTAAATAGATTATTATTATTATTATTATTATTATTATTATGAGAAATGTAAACAAGTAGTGAATAACAAAAAATAAAAATTAATTGAAAAATTACTTCACAGCTTATTTAAAAAAACACTACTCAGCAACTTAAATCTATAATCCAACAGCTACACCAAAAAAATTAACAGTTTATAATTAAAATCATAATCTGTTATCTATTAAGCTATAATCTATAATTTGTTTTAACAGTTACACCAAACGGGGCTGATATTTGATTCAAAAATTTACAACTCATAACCAAACAAACAACTCAAAATTCTATTCAAAGCTCATAAAAAATTTTAAAAAAAATTCTCAAAATATTTTTTATTTAAAATAAAAAAATAACATGTGTCCAAAAAAACAAAAAAAAAAAAACACGGACACTGTTCCAGTCAACCGGTCGGACGTTCGGGGAGACGTCCGAGAGGATGACTGGATAGACATGCTTTGAAAAGTGAGTATGGAATCCATTTTTAAAAATTGTAAACAAACAAAAGAAAGTTTGTGCTCATGAAAAGTGAAATTGTCATTGAGTTTCTCAAACTTTCATTTCATTTTTTTAATTTTTTTTTTTAATTGGTCATTTACTTGATTTTTAGTTGTAAAAGACATTTTTAGTTTTCATCTTTTAATTTAAACTATTTACTAGACTAAATTTAATATGAGCCAAATCCAAGATAAGCTCATGTGTACTCCTCAAAAGCGCACCTAAGACATATGCCTTAGACTTGGACGCAAAGTTTTTGGGAGTATAACCTAAAATCAAAGTCCTAATACATTTTACCTTGGTCTCTCCTCGAGACTAGCCGTGTTAAAGTCTTACAAAATTTTAAATTAGAAAAATGGAATTATTTTTAGCAATGTAACGTGGCAATGGTTTTAAAAACGGGACCGGACCTGCTAGTTTAACTGATTGAACCATCGACCAGTTGGGATTCCAGTCTGTAACGCCTCAAAATAATAGCAATAACCCACATCATAATATATCCTAGAATGTCACATTGTATTTGACATTTCGTTGATATACTCCTCGATCATACAAAAGATGACATATGCATATTTACATTCATAAATTCGAAATCATGAATCTATAGCATTTGAGATGTGTACATGAATGGGAATAAAAGGATATACATATAAGTTTATGTCTTAATGGCTACATCTTTCCAAGTCAATACTTGGATACAACAAATGTGAGTTCAACTCAATACAGTTAAAGTCCATGGCTTGTACAAAAATAATTACATTAAAAGAAACAAAAGAAGCTCTGGGTTTCAAGTCCTCCCAAGCTATGTCCTAGGTATAGATATATCATCAGCACTTGAAAGTTGTTTTCTATGTAGGGTGAGCTAAAACTTAACGAAGTCATAAGGTGAATGCATATACATGCCATTTGTCAAACGTTTTACATTTCCATCTCACAAAAATGCAATGCCATGATTATATATATATATATATATATCAATTCATGGAAAATATCATTTTATATCAAAAAACAAGCCAGTGGATACAAAACACTGGGAATATCTGGGTATGCGTCTGCCAGTTGGTTATACAAGCACTACCAAAACCATTTTACCGGTACTAACCGGAAGGATCGGCATCTAACTATGTGAGTTTCTAGACTTTCACCAAGGACACGCAGGCCAACATAATAACCATAACCACAGCCCCTAATTAGATTCATCAAGGTATACATCAATTTTTCTCAAAATAATATATTTTTAACGTTTAAGTATGAAACAATGCTTCGTGCAAGATGTATAAGTAATTAGTTTCAATTCACCTAATCCCCATACAATTTCTATAACAATCAAAGCTATCATTCACCAATAGCCCAAAACAGATATTTCTACTCAACAGATAATTTTTCAACAACAGATACAATATCGTCATCTTCAAAATGAGAGTGATACTACATATCCAACTCCACTCTCATCATCAACAGATATATCCCTCTTATCTTTTCAAAATCCAATATCTTTTCCCTTTTCTTTCATAAATCAAATATTAATAATTTTCAAACAAAACCTTGTTTACTTTCAAAATCACATTTAAGTAACGAAATTCCACAATTTCAATACGACCCAACATTTTATACACTTCTGCAACCTTTCTCAAGAATCTATTTGAAAAATCCCTCTTTTATATTTCAAAATCAAACCTTAGGTTTACCCAAAATCTCCAAATCACTAAACATTTTCAAAGAGCAAATGGCTAAGCTAAGAGAGTTTCTAGACTTTCACCAAGGACACGCAGGCCAACATAATAACCATAACCACAGCCCCTAATTAGATTCATCAAGGTATATATCCATTTTTCTCAAAATAATATATTTTTAACGTTTACGTATGAAACAATGCTTCGTACAAGATGTATGAGTAATTAGTTTCAATTCACCTAATCCCCATACAATTTCTATAACAATCAAAGCTATCATTCACCAATAGCCCAAAACAGATATTTCTACTCAACAGATAATTTTTCAACAACAGATACAATATCGTCATCTTCAAAATGAGAGTGATACTACATATCCAACTCCACTCTCATCATCAACAGATATATCCCTCTTATCTTTTCAAAATCCAATATCTTTTCCCTTTTCTTTCATAAATCAAATATTAATAATTTTCAAACAAAACCTTGTTTACTTTCAAAATCACATTTAAGTAACGAAATTCCACAATTTCAATACGACCCAACATTTTATACACTTCTGCAACCTTTCTCAAGAATCTATTTGAAAAATCCCTCTTTTATATTTCAAAATCAAACCTTAGGTTTACCCAAAATCTCCAAATCACTAAACATTTTCAAAGAGCAAATGGCTAAGCTAAGAATCATACCAAAGGTTGAAGAAATCCATACTTGAAGAGTAGAAGAGGAAGAGAGCAAGGGTAATACTTTGACAGAGCCAAAAACAAGATGCTTTCTGATTAGAACGAAGCTTTTGATGAGCTCTACCTTTTTCTCCAAAGAGCTGTGGTAGAGAAATCAATGGGTGAAGGTGTTTTTGAGGTTTTAAACAAGAACTAGAGACGGAGCGAAGAAATTAGGGTTAGAAATGTTTTAGAGAAAGAAAGAGAGGGGAATGAAAAAGTGTAACGGCCCCAAAGTACATAATATAAATGTATCAATCCAAAACATGGTTAACACCAAAAGATCCTCTTTCTCATTGAACTAAGGTTTCATCTATAGTTCCATGTTCAACATATAAATTACACTTCTAATTATAACGGAGTTCAATAATCTAGAGGACAGAGTAAGTTGCCTTAATGGCTTAAAACAAATCAAGGCATTGCCTTGTTACAAACAAAAATGGACTCAAGGTTCTAAGCAAATAAGCTCGCAGCTTTCACATTTAAACGTCCCTGAGCCTCAGCTCTCCAATCAAAACAAAAGAGTATGCTTCATCTCATGGAGGTGGTGGCACATCACTAATTTCTAAAATTGTTAGTTAAGGATGAGCAATATGTCCAGTAGGGATATATTTAACAGAGTATTTAATCATTTGAACATACAAGTGGCGTTATCATGACTCAAACATAATTTAGAGTTTATATTCACATATTAAATGGGTAAGAAAACAATTACATTTTTGTTTCATGAAAAAAAAAAAAAAAACATTTCTTAATATAGGAGGTAAATATGCCATGAGTCTGTTGTAGGAGCTCTGTACTACATATACATGCAGGTTTATAACCAAAACTATTCCCTACATTTGCCAATTATTAATACGGCAGGTGGTAGGCACCAAAAACCATTCATTTTTCTATTTTTGCCGACTGTTATACAACAGGATCAGTAGACACCCGAAAACATTTTTCTCACATTCGTCCAGCGATAAGCTCAAGACATGGCAATTGGGCACCTTATTTCCCCCATGTGGGTACCAACACAACACATTTTTCTCAAAATTGACTCTCTATTCGGACTCACACTCACACTCTATTTACCTCACCATTTTTACCACATTCCAAGTAATCAAATATACAATAAAAAATTGGAAGCGTTATGAAAATTGAATACATGGGTCATAAATGTTCCAGGTCCAAAATCTCAACTCTAAACACATTAACAATGTATTCCAAATTCTAAGTATCAACACCATTCAAGCTTTGAAATTCAATTCCATCTAAGCATCATTTTTTCCCAAATCAAAACTAGAGTTTTATCAAATTTGGGGCTTTTAACCCCTCTTCATAAATGTGATAATTTCCAACATCAATACACATAATCCATGAGAATTTATTTGAAATTTTTAATAAATGTTGGTTAAAGTCCCCTTTGTGTCAAACATAAAACTTAACTTTTACACAATCATCAAAACAAAGTATTATAGTCACACTACAGGAATTAACACTTTTGCCGACTAAAAATTTAGTCGGCAAAAGTCCATTTTTAGTCGGTAAAAGTCATCCGCGACCAATTTTTTTGGTCACCACTTTGGTCAC